CAATAAATATTGTATTGCTTCTTCTGTCACATGATTTTTACTCAGAAACCCAGATGGAAAAACGGGACTATATTCAAGCCATCGGGTAAATAGTTTCACATCATTATTCGAATTCATTTTACCAGAAATATACTCAGCTTGAACGCTAGAATCCTTCAGAAGTACTGTAATTACGAAGCACAAACAAGATAAATTTAACGATAACCCCCCCAAATTCGTCTTGAAAGAGGACAAGGTTTCTTGGTTTGAAGAAAGAAAGAAAACCTAGCTTGGAGATGAAAGCTCAAATGCTGCCTTCCAAGCCTTGAAAAACAGCGGATTCCGAGAAAGGCGGAAAAAAACGCCACCCGCAGCGCCGTAACTTGGTAACACTCACCACACACTCGAACCCATAGAAGAACGCTAAACTCAACTCACACATGTCCCGGTGTCGAAACATGACCTTCCACGATCTCCTTTCACCTAGCTAATGGAAACCTAGGTGAACCGCCCCTCGCCAAAAGGCAACCCGGGTTCACTAAATAAACTACGGTCCCAGGTGGAAATCATTCTTTCCGAATGCCCATACAGTATATTCGAAGCTATTCCGTGAGAAGAACAGGCGGGGGTACGGATAAGATTTATTTGAATGGAAACGCACCACGAGGTCTACTGCATCCCATTGACGTGATTATACGTAAAAACGATCCTGAGTGGCTACAAAATTTCAGTGGAATGATAAATTCTAGGTAAACAGTACTGAACTCTCAAAAGTGAATTGTTTCGATGAACAGCAGCAGCAGAAATTGTACGAATTTAGACTTGACAAAAATCAATCGTTAATCTTCTCTAAAAACTAGTACAAACCAATCTTCTAGAGATTAAAATAATATTCCGAACCAGGGCTCAAATTATTTAAATTAAACTTCAGCAAATGCTACGCAATACAGGCATTTCTTTCGAAGATCGCAGCGAGCTTTTGAACGAATGATAAATAAATGAAATATGGTTGAAAGAGAAGAAAACCAAAATCCTTTAAAATAAAACAACCGCTTAAAAAATCGACTCTAACATTAATAAAATACAACGAAGAACAGGACTCGTGATGGGAGGAAATTGTGAATAAAATCTAAACCTGTACCTTGTCCTCAATTCCCACCTAAACCCTCACTTACCATTTCACCGGACACCGCCATGTTTCACCGCTACTGCCATCTACTCATCATCCCTCGTTGTACTTCTCTTCAATGCGGCGCGCGCGTTCGCTGTACAGTTCACATCGGTGGAAATGCTTCCCAAAATCATCTTAGTCCTTCTTGCAATCTAATATAGATGTATTCTCTCTACAATGATTTTCTCTGTACAACGAATTTTCTTATTTCCCATAGTATTCTTAACCAATGCTATAGGAGTCCTCTACAACTAATTTATTTCTCGCCGCTTGAATTTCGTTGTAGAGAGTCCACCTGAACTAATCTAAGCATCGAATAATGTGAAGAGGAGTAGGACAAATTTGCCCAGAGAAGTGGTGGAGGGATTTCAGATGGGATGCGTGAAGTCCGCAGGCTCCAATCCCGAAAAGGTTCAATATCCCTGTTCTCGTATTGTTTACTGCATTCAAATCATAATTATCTGTAACTCATAAGCCAAATTATTCTAAGCCGAGAATACCTGACATAACGATTGTACCCTGCATATAAATTCACAATTGGATACGTGCATTTTTATGCACCGAAGGGTCAGTTTCAAGTTTTCAAATTTGATACGAAAATCTTCAAAATCTCGATAGAAGACCAATATTCTAGACACTAAATAAGCCATGAACTACTTTTAAAATCATAAGATTTAACACGAGCGAAATTGCGAACTCACCGAATCATCACTTCGCTTCAAAAAACAGTAAAAAAAAAAAGAAATTGACAAATCGGTACAGAGAAAAAAACTATAGCACGACGGAAGGAACAGCGTCGTGTGATCAACACCCGAGTCCGCAATCGATCGGGCGCCGACCCCAACCCATCACCTTCTGCACCCAAAGGGGTTATTCGTTTCTTTTTCTTTTTTCAATAGGCAGCTGATCCCGCGCTTGCAAAAATCGACGCCCCAGTGGGGGTCACTGGACGGAATGTCGAGCAATTCACTCTCAACACTCCCACGTTCCGAAAGGATTATAAAATGTAAATTGTATCCTCGACCCGGTCGCACAGAAAAATTCCAACCACATACCAAGTCGAACCGGCGGATCCCAATTTCGAGATTCCAAACGAAATGATCAATACAGTTGGTATTTAGAAAACGGAAAACAACGCGGTAATGCAACAAAATACAGATCCACTTCCAATAATAAAAAACAAAACTTCCAAATGCGTTCTGAGAAAAAACATTTGTAAAAAAATGTAGCGTAACAACACTACGTCACCGTTCTGCTCGTGCGGAAGCAGGGAACTTACTGGGGGGAGCTCGGAACTCGGCGCCTTGCTCCCTCACCACCGCGCGGATGCGGCTACGCGGCACACAACACATGACGCTAGAGAGGACAGGGGAGAGGTCAGGGAAGCCCTGCCTATCCAATATTGCACTGGTGAGCGAGACCATTGGCCAGGCCCATGTGCAGAGGGTACCATGTAACAGCGGATGCGCACCAGGCAGAAACTAACGTTGGAACAGGCGAATGATCAGCGATGCACGTTAGGAACCGGAATACGGTACACCGGTGCCCCATGCTCCAACGAGACGTCCACCGATTACGACTACACTGGATGTTCAACAGGCCTCAGAAAAATTGACAACCGTAAAATTTGAAGCTACACTCAATAAAATGGCTGATCTATTCGGAAATTTGTTCATCAATTCTTACGTATTCACTAGAAAAATAGTTTTTAAACATGAATCATCGTTTACAAAGGCGAAACAATCACGATAGAAGAATGTCGAGAACGATTTTTTCCAATTGCTGAATGATTTTGAAGGCCACATCTTCATCAACTTCAAGTTTTCGAAAGGACCATCACTTCTCGTGCTATGAGTATTTACAAAAGGTCCCAAAAAGCTCGGTGGAAGCTGATGATACACACTTCCAGAAAATACGCACACAGTCATTCAAGAACGATTTCTAACCAATCAGACTCATCAGTAATCACAAACATCTGAATCTTTCTTTCCACCACACTTCTCAATTTACCTCATTCTCTAGATTCACCTTTATTGCTCACGAACTGGTCCTCCCGAATGCCTGTAACGTGCGCACGTGCAAGGCCTGCAGAGCTGAGGTCCATCAGGGCGACGCCATATTGGCCAAACAGAATTATCAAAGATTCGCTTTTTGAAACAAAGAGCATTACTCCAGAACGTCATGGTCGCGCGCCAATAGCAATAAGCCAATTTCGCAAATGCTGTTTTTATTTTTTGACGCTCAGAGGCTTGCTTATAATTTAAATATATTTTTATTTCATTTGTTCATGCGTAAAACAAAGAAAGGAAGACATTCCAATGCAGAATAATGTACAGTATGATATACAGTACTGATACTGTAATCCAAAACAGTTCCTTTTTTATTTCCTACAAACATTTCCGCAACATGGTTGACAATCGAGAAAGGATTATTATACAATCAACTAATTCCCACGATTTTCCTCAAAGCTTTCGGTAGTTGACGATGCCATGTTTTAGGGGTACTAGCTGCATTCTTTGACTTTACTAGTTGGTTCCACTGTCTGTGCAACTTCGCTGAAAAACATATAATAAAGGTACGGTAATACAATATTGGCTGGAAAGCAACACTACAGTATATGTACGCTGAAGTCTTGAAATATCTTACCTGCAAATCGATGTAGCAGTAAGTCAAATAGGAAATGGCCATCACAGCAACTGCAAATTTGGAGGGCAAGGGAATACTTGGCCACCATTTGGTCAACATGGCTTTCCCCATTGTTAGCTTTGACTTGCTGTATGGTGGATATCTAAATCTATTTCAGAATACAGAACGAAATACCAAAAATTAAAAACGAATCACGTTGTCTATATTTTCACAGGGAGAGACATTGAAATAGATTTCATTTTTGATGCATTAAATTTCTCACATAGGGCAATTCTAGCTTTCTTCCAAATAAGTGAGTCTTGAAAGCATGAATTGTTTCTTTTGAAGTTTTTCTAAGAACAGTAAGCATTATAACACTTATTGTGAATATTTAGTTTGCAATAATATCAGGTCTGGTACATGAACAAATGTACATAAGCCTAGTGCAGGAACTACAGTAATTGCACAATAAGAAGGATTTAAAATTTTGTATTGCGTGGGTACTGTTTTGGTTGTAAACAGATGCAGTTTCATTACTTTTAAACCGGACAAAATTAAACCACACTTAAATCAGATAATTGAAGTAAAATAGTAAAATATTTCTTCACAACCCAGTGTGATTTTATATTCCCCATAAAAATAGACGGAATAATACTGTAGAATAAAAATCGAGCTGAAAATTTTGAGAAATTTTGGATTAGAGACTGAGAGAGAGAAGAATTTAAACGTACACAAAGTACAAAAATTCAGATCATAAACATTTGAGAACGAATTATTATTCATTTAAAGTTCCACCATGCAGCCTAATTATTCCTAATGCCTCAGACATTCCCTAAAGTTCCCTGTGATAACTCTAAAATGATTGTGGAAGTCGTTGTGCAGGATCAAATGAACTATCAAATATTTTGGTTTGAGCATGTTTGATTTTGCCTGACTGAAAAGATTCATCCATTATGCTTTCTAAACCTATCTGTTGTGTGTAAAGTAAAAAAGGAAATTATGGGTACAGTATTCTCTCAGCATGTGAATTTTATTCAATTTTATTGATGGGTAAATCTCTTATAGAACAATTCAGTATATGCAGTACCCTTAGTATTTTCCTACAATACTGTATACTATAACTAACATTCTCCGCCTGTGTCATATAGCTGTCACATACGAGTGCATAACAAAACTAAAGGGCAAACTAAAAACGTGAGTATACAGTTTACCGTATATTAAATGCTCACCCGCCAGCAGTTTCAATCAGTGGGTTGAAAGTTTTCTTCATTACAGCTCGCTTATTCACAAAAGCGTCGAATGAAGCTTTTCCGTGGTACTTTCCAAGGCCACTCATCCCGACACCTCCAAATGGCAAGGATTCGACTGACATGTTTAAAAAAACCAAATTAAAATTTAATCTCGAGAAATAAACCAGATGAAACTTGCCTGCAAAATGAAAAACAGTTTCGTTCACGACGAAGCTCCCACTGGACGTTTTCGTCGCAAATTGGTCAATCACTTTATTGTCCGTCGAGAACACGTAAGTTGTCAAGGGATGATCCCTAAGATAAATTTCCAAGTTTTTCTCAATATGTATCGTCGCAAACAGATAAGTCTCAAATAAGCAATTCTCACGGATATAAATTACCTTTGATTGATAATAGAAATTGCCTCTTCGTGGTTTTGAACCACAATGATTGGCAGAACAGGGCCGAAAATTTCTTCCTGCATGATGGGATCGGACAGTTTCACGTCCACCAGGATTGTTGGAGAAACGTACTTGGAAGCGGCATCGAAATGGCCTCCAATTTGTATTTTCCCACTCGACTCAATCAATTGTTTCAATTTCCTTTACCGAAATAAAAACACAAGACTTCTCAACGATCAACAAAGCATCTCGCGCAAAAAGAAAAGAAAAAAACTAGATTATTAAGAAAGCATGAGAACAGTGGATAAAATACAGTATAAAGCATTTGTATCGGTTTGTCAAATCGAAAATACAGTACCTCACATTTGAGGCAGATTGATGAGAGTCACCTCCCAGAATCTTATGTTTAAAAATTCAGGGTGAGTCCTACATAAAATCTATATAATCTCTTTGATTCGTCATGTGGCACCCACAATAGTCGAGGAAGAGGTTATTAAAAATTGAAATCAGACATTTGAAGTGTTGATCTATCCTTAATTTTGTCTTCGTCATTGGACATTTCGCGAATTGATGTACGCGAGGATATTTTTTGTTATTCAAAAATCCGCGCAAACTTTGGGTGCAACCTATGACTGATAGAGTTTATAGAATTTTGTGAGACAATACTATTCAGTGACACTTTTCATTTTCCAAAGTGGGTGACTGAAAAATAAAATGTGCGTTTTTTATTGTGATTTCCGTCTGTAATAATAAACCTTGAGATACAACAAAATGCACTCATTAAATACAATATGGTAGAATCTCGTAACAACGACGCGTTTGGGGCCTTAAACGGCTTTATTGTATAAACGGAAATTCGTTAAAACGAAATTACAATACAATTTCGCTACTGAGCAAGGACAAAATAAATGTGTTGTAAGCAGCATTCATTCCTTATCCTGAATAACGAGATTAGTGTTACTGTAACCAGATTTTACTTTATTACTCAATAGTGTGTCAATTTATAGTCTACATCTCTACAATACTAATCTGATTGAAAAGTTGAACTAGAGCTAGCTAAGCGAGAACCTGTAGGTAAATAACATTTGGCATCAATTTATCAATTAAATGGAATTTTTCAAAGATTCAGGCGACACCTTTGAGCAAAAAAGAAAAGCTCGTGGACGGGAAAATTCAGGGCGCGTTCGAAAGGGCTGAATGAACAATAGTGAGACCTCAACATATGGACAATTCAACTTGGGGACACTTTAAAATTCAAAAAATAGGGCCCGACATCCGGACAATATCTCGACATACGGACACTTTTTCAACAATTCCAGAAAATTTAAAATTTTCTAAATTTGAACATCTTGAACAATTTAAGCTATTGATATTCACAGAATTTAAAACTGAATAGCATTGTATATTTACTTGAATTCATAATCAAAAACAGGTTAATTTTGTGCATTTTTTGGCATTCTCTATCCGCTATGCACAGTATAGCAAGACTTTTGCTTTTTGTCTGTATTTATTGACAAGTTCTTTTCATGCCAGAGGATCATATTCTGTATGTGGGTTTCTTTATTATGAACAGTCATATTCTGTATCTTTAAGCTGGTAAACACATTTTATTTACTTTTTTGAGATTTTTACTAATTTTCCATGAACTGGAGAACCAATTAAATGAGTTCCCATTGAAGTCTATAGGAAAACAAGACCCCAGCATTCATTCATTCTGAGATAGGGACACTGTTCAAACACCAATTACGTCCGCATCTCGGGGCCTCACTTACAGTACTGTTTATATACCTGTACTCTAAATGTGATAAGTTTAGCAAAAATACATACAAGGCTTGAAGAAAACTTAACTGAAATCGCACGTCATTGATTATGCGACAATAGTCATCAGTGTCTTTCGGTCCTTCCGGAAACCAAGTCTTCAAAACTTCCGTCGCTTCCCGAATAAATGCATCTCTCACAGCAGGCGTGCACATCAAATAATCCGGAGCGATGCAAGTTTGTCCAGCGTTCAAAAGTTTTCCGGACATTATACGTTTTGCGGCTATTTTCATGTTCACTGTGTTGTCCAAGTAGCAGGGACTGTGGATAACAAATGACACTCCATAAATTTCACCATCAATTATGTAATACTCAGGTATATTTATTACGATTTTTTTTGGGCATTCAAAAACTTGCCTTTTTCCACCGAGTTCCAGGATGCAAGGAGTCATTTGCTTCGCTGCTGCTTGATATACGATTTTTCCGACTGCTGTGCTGCCGGTGAAGAATATGTGGTCGAACTTTTGCAAGTTGTTCCGGCACCAAAGAAAGTGTGGCGGACAACGATGGGACTTTGTTGCGAAAATGCAGGTTAGTGTTCTTTCTTTTCTGATTAATAATGTACTCATTCAATCCCAACAAAAAACTCACACGAGCAGTTGTTGATGATCAGTGAAAATAAATAATCTGCAATTACTTGCGCGTTTATAGCACCCTGCAAATAATCGTTGTGTATAATGTAGATTATGCTTAAGAGGACCACCTTATTTTAAAAGTATCAGCTGCATATTAGGGCCTAAATTTAAAGAACGGAATCCAAACCATAAAACCATCAAATTTATGTACAAATTATTTTTCAGACTGCTCAATAGGACCAAATTCTAAACAATGTAAACTCACCATCAAAGAGGATTTGGCCTTTTGAGATGCGTTGATTGAGCTAGGATATAGAATACAACTTTGTCAATTTTAATCTCTAGTTTATGTTTACTGTATTGACATCCGAACGCATGATGTGTATATTTCAATGACTTTTTCATTATTCGATGTCCATGACTTTTTTTTAAATTATTTTTTAATATTTTGTAACGAAAACTTTATAAATTTCATAAAATTCCTTGTAAAATTTCACTCTTGCATACAAAATTACCGTATTTATCTTACACAATTACAATATATCTTGCTATGTATACAAACAAGCATAGAATAGAGAATAGGTGAGATAATGAAACACTTACACATCTTATTGCACATAATCACATAAGCTAAAGAAAATTAAAATCACTGTAAGTACAGATAATTATGCATAATTTCCATTCAATACCTATTCATATAGATGAATTGATTGATTGATATTCTAGGTTTATTTTTGTTGTTGCTAGAATGTACAGCATATTACTGCTGGTAATTCGTTGTAGTGTGAAGAATCAAGCATCTTTTATTTGTAAATAAAATCTGTTTATTAAACCCAGACGCATAATATTGGACCAAAAATCCTCTGACCCAATTTATTTGCTCAGAATTAAGAGGAATAAACTGTGTTTTTCCACTCAGAAATCCGAGAACATGATATAAACTTGTTGATACAGTACTGCATTTTTGGTTCTCCGAGTATTGCTCATCTGTATAAAGGCAGAGTCAATCCAAATACTGGTACATTTTTAAATGCAAATGCGATATACATCAGTACTGCGGTATACTCGAGTAAAAATAAACTATTCGGAATTTTAAAAAGCACGAGATCACATATACCATAATAAGCTTCAATGATAGGAATGGGGATAATCTTCACCTTATCCAAATATTTTTCAATCGCGTTCGTCAACACAGTCTCGGTATGTGAAGCGACTTCCGAAGGCTTGAACACGATACAGTTCCCAGCAGCGATTGCCCCCAAAGCCGGTAGCATCATGAGACTGACTGGGTAATTCCATGCACCGATTATAAGAACGACACCTAGGGGAGACTGCTGGATTTCCAGGGTGTCGTTCATCGTAGCCAAACTACGAGCGCGTGCCTCGTTGGCCACATACGAGTTCAGGTTCTCTAACATCGAATCGATTTCGCTGACGGTCAGGACGATTTCTGACATGTAAAATTCTTGATAAGGCTGAAAAATTACAGACGTGAAAAAGGTCAGGTCTCATGGTTGACATTTCAGACAATATTTTCTATCTCTGGTTGGGAAAGCCACGAACAAAGAACGCGTAAATTCCCAAAGATCTGCTCATATCAGACGATCTCTCGTCGTCAGAAGGTCAGTATCGCACTGTATACAGCGATAAGGACACTCATGGATTAATTCTTGAAGACATTTTATGCGTGATCCAGTGATTGTGAACAATAATTAATGCACATAATCTCTTGGATCATCAGTAAATTAACCTGGAAGTACTCACTTTGCCAAGGTCAGCCTTTGTTGCAGCGGCCAAACGATCGGCTTCCTGCAGCATCATGGCTCTCATGTTTCTGAGTTGATCCTTTCGGAAACTGACAGGTGCCATGACGCCCGCATTGAAATTGCTCCTCAGCTCACTGACCATCTGTCATGAGGGAGAATCTCTCGTATGTTGTAGAAAAAACAGCAAAAGTAAAATGAAGATGAGAAGTAAACTCCGTTCGGGACTTGAAATCAGGAATCATAGGAGATTTTCGACCGTATTCATTGGCCTGCTGCTCATTCGTCCTCCTATACCCCATATAGAAGCTTAGATCGTACACGCGTGAACGAATATCTTATAGTCTCAAGCATTTTTGTATCGAATATGGGAGGAGGAAAAGGATGACTTTTTCAATATCCACCAGCAAGAGATCTCGCTGATCTCCTAAGCTTTAAAAAAATACTGCATAACAGAAAAGTATAAAATGAACTTGAATGTTGCGATGGTCAGAAAAAAAAATTAAGGAATACTTTCCTCTGAGAGTGAACCTATATATCAAAGAGCGAGGAAGGTAAGTTCAAGTTGTTTTCTTCGGGAATGTTATTTTAAACGTGTGAAATTCTGTTACAGTTAACGATTTTTCCGCTATAAAAATTTATTTCAATGTCCTGACCAATACTACTTTGGCATATACAGTGGCTGAATACTGTATATCATGTCACAACGAAATTTCACTATTCAATACAACTCATTGCTTTTTCATGATTTTTCTGCAGGTTAATTAGTTTAATTATGAGGGGTTTTCCGAGAAAATCTTAGGTTAGACAAAATGAATCTCCTTTCCCATGAAACAATAATACTTGTTTTTATACAAAGCTCGATTCAACATAGATGAATAAATACCGAGCATCAGAATTTCGATGCAACTATAGACATTTGACTTTTGGTAAATTATACATTTTTTCAAATATTCAATGTTTAATACAGTACGTTTTTGAAATTTGTAACGCATGTACAGTACTATAGTATGGATAATGCACAAAACGTGAAAACTTTCAGCTTGATGATAGTGAAATTGGAACTATTATAAATGCGAGTCAGAATTTGGTCCATATACATGCATCTATCTATTCATAATAACTTTTAAACATATGCCTACCTTACCAGACAAAACAAAAAGCTTTCACCTCTAATATATAGCGTAGCACAAGTAAGATCACCTGATAGAATTTAATTTCCATTTGGTCTGACGAATCCATATCACCGCTTGTTGAAATGTCCGACGCTGAAATCCTTCACCAGTTTTTCTCGATGTGCTACGAAGCAAAACTGCACTTCTCTCAAAATATTCCGGATAGGAATCCTTCACCAGTTTTTCCCGATGTGCACGAAGCAAAACTGCACTTCTCTCAAAATATTCCGGATAACACTGAATGAATCCACGAGAGGAAAGAAAAAATGTGAATAACTTTCAAAATGTTTTGTCCACGCTGGTGAAATATCGAAATATCAGTCTTTGCTTTATCTATCGTCAGTTTTTATTATTTTCTTGGAATTGTCCATTCAGGTGATCTGACCAAAAAATTCCCAAGTATTCTTCAATATTCCCGGGCCTCTGATTAGCGGAAATGGAAAAATTAAAGAAATCCACTTGTGCATTGTTGGGTGATGTTTCCTCTCTTGATTTCTCCACATCACAAATGTTAACTGATTTATGTGGATTTTTCGCTGGGTGGAGATTATATTTTTCTACCAGTACTAAGAGAAGCTATACTTTTCCATTTGTCAACAGCATGGCAAAATCATCACACTTCAAATTTTACATCTAATTGATTTGGTTTTAATTATTGAAGCTATGTGAAAAGTATATTTCAGGGTTTTGCTTCGATTTTATTTGTCTCAAAAATGAAATTACACATTGAATTTAGACTAAAATAATTTTTTTTTAAAGTCATTGTTCAGATTAGACAGGTTCACTGTGTGCTGGTATGCGAATTTTCCAACCCTCGTGAATTGTAAGCATGGGCACAGAACACTGGATGCTAAGAAAGAAAAGTATGCATGCAAATAATCTATATATCACTACATAGTCTGAACTAAACTACCTTGATAAAAAATTCGTTATATGCTGTTTGATGAGAGTACAGTATTATACGGCACCTCAATTTGTTTTTACTAATACGAGCGAATGCTTTTTTCAGATAAATAAATATAACACAATAGATAATCGGATTCCAATAATACAGTATCTGTTTCAACAGGTTACAGAATTGAGGAATATAACTTGATATGAATTCAACTATCGTAATATTCTCATACAGTATTTTAAGTGCACCAGCATGAATTAATACTGCAGTTAATCAGCGAGAATAAACTGCAAATTCTTTAGTTTAATTTCAATGAATTAAATTCGACAAAATGCGTGTTTATACAAGCCCAAATTACCACTATACACCCTACTACTCTTTTCGGCATTCGCTTTTTTTGTGCTCAAGCCCTTTTATACTTTTATTGCTGACTTTGAACTTGCACTTCTTCTGCGCACCTTGTAACAAGTAGGGGGTTTTCTCGTTGGGAATAAAACTGGGATACAAATGAATCAACCGACCAAAATTTCCCTGTTGCTTTTCTTCAACATAAACCGGGTTCGTGTATACATGTATAACAATCTTATCACACCGCTGTGGAATCGTGGAGTGATTCGACACTCTTGATATCCCCCAGCATAAACAGCATTGGTTGGCGTCTGAGCCCTACTTTCGGCGTCGACGTTGAAATTGCTTACGTCACTGTCGAGAGATTTTTGATAGGCAAGAAAAACAGTGATAAGCAGAGGAACACCTTGGAAACTTCTCAAAGTTGCAAGAGACACCATTCTTTTGAAATCCCAGGTTTTATGTTATTTTTACTGTGTCATGATATATTTTGTGTGTCCCAAACGCACTTAGAATACCCCATCATTGTTTGCATGTTTCCAGACCTTTTTTTCACAATAGCAACCACGTCATCCCCCCGTCTGGTCACTGGTAATTTAATTTAGTTGTCTGGGTTTCATTTCTGTCTCCAGTTGTAAACATATCGTGCAAGACCAAATCTATAAAAAAGGGTTCAAACACTCTCTTGAGACTCATTGTTGGTCTGGTATCTGTTGTGGTCAGTCATAAAAAAAATATGGAAACTGTATTGTGCTTTTGCCTTTGTAAGATAAGTCTAGATCAGTGTTTCCCAACCTTTTTGGGTCTGCAGACCAGCAAATTTCCATGAAATGTTTTGCAGACCAACAAATTTTCATAACATTTTTAGCAGACCAGCAAATTTCCAAAAAATGTTTTGAGGACTAGCAAAGTTTCATAAAATGTTTACAGACTCAAAAAATTGCTTGCAAGGCTCTATCGCAGGCATTAAAAAAGTGTCTTCTTCTTTGCAAAAATTAAGAACCAATAATGCAGCTAAAAAGGGGAGCGTCTTTAAAAAAAAGTAGAAAAGTTGGATTCAAGAAAGGTTTCTCAGAATGAAATATACAGAATGAATTATTTCAGAAGGTGGAAAGTTGCCTGAAATTTCGTTAGGAGAAAAGCTAATTCATAATTTTTCATCAGAAAATTTCGACTGCCATAGTCTTTCCAACATTTCAGATTAAAAAAAGAGTTTAATGCCACTTTCGTTGATATATTATGCAGCAAAACATTTTCTGAGGACCAGCAAAAAACGTTTGCGTTTCAGCACTGATCTGCTGACCATGGGTTGTGGAACACTGGTCTAGATCATTCTAAGCACCCAGACATAAGAAACAAAATTTCTTTTCTACCCTGTTTATCCTAAAAACTTTGGAACAAAGTAAAACTTGAGAACTGAAGAAAAATCAGAAGTGGAAGGTATTAATTTTTAGTATTTCTTACAAATTAGGATAACAACCATTGTTTACATGTTGAAGATAGTTTTACGTTTAAAACTCATTCCCAAGAAAGGTCACGGATCAAGACATTCATGCCAAATAACTTGCAGAAAAATGCCTAGATTTCTTTCCAAAATTATCAATGCAGTTTGGGAATCTAAAAAGTTTGTAGGGTTGATAACTAAAAATGATGCAAGTGTGTGTTATTGGCAAGTCTGAAAACCCCAATAATTTGATGAAGCCACATTTTTCCTTTTTCTTAGGAAAAAGGAAAAATTGGAAAAATTTTTCTTTAGGATAAGGGGGGAAAATTGTTTTTCATATACACGCTAATTGTTCAATGTGGTAGATATGTATTCATATAGCTTACGACAAAGAAAACGAAATTAATCAAAGTAAATGGAAAGATCTTCATGTACAAAAAAGTCAGCATTCATGTTTGCTCTTTGTCTTGCATCAAAAACCATCACTCTCAGGAAATTCGGAGCATATACTTGCAAAAGTTGGCATAACACATGACGAAATGTCCGCACCATTTTCCTTCCCCGAAAAACGAAATCGCAGGAAACACACTTGACATTCGAGAGTGAAACAAACGGGATAAACGAGTCATTTTCTAAGCCACAAATGGCCGCATTCGGTTCAATTTTACTTGCTTGTTAAAATTTGAGCATTCGCTTTGACTGAAGGTCAGTCCACTCATTGAAAGGACAAAAAGGTGTCACAGCCACGACGTTTGCTGATGAGCCGAAAAAAAAAAGTGAGAACTAAAACTGTTCGACGATGAGCTTCTCTCCTGAAGTTGAATCATTCATTTCCCTCCCTTCACCCCTTGACAAATTCATTAAAAATTTTCTTTCAAAACATTTCACCAGCGCCACTTTTTCGCAGTCAACACAAACGTTCCTCTTAAAATGATTTGACGATCGGATCACATGCGTTATAACCAGAAAGACACACAGATTCGACATCACCTGATTTCACATTACCAAGACTGATGAAGCACAAATCACGATTTTCTTTTCTCATGAAAAGTGACAAAGAAAAATGCTGAATTTTGGTCCTGTTAATTCCAGGTTTCGTCAAGGGTATCAATCAATGATGCAAATATTGGAATGGCGTCAAAAGTGTTGAGATTCCGACTCCGACCTGCGGTTGTGAACATCTGTAATTCAGTCACTCTTCTCACTTGTTGCATTCACTAATCTGAAACAGAAAAGTAAACGGTATTACAAGATTTTCAACATGAAGAATAATGTAATGCATTTGAACAAATTTTTATCATGCAAAATGCAATTCTTTCAGACAAAAATACATTGAGCCATTTTCCAGCTTTTAAGGTAGTTCAACAATGCAGTGACACCCCAAGATGTGGACATGGTTGGTGCATCTAAGTTGAAATGTCCTCAAGTTGAGTCTTGTTTTCCTCTCGACTTACATTATTTAATTTTTAATTTGTGTTTCATGGAAGAAATATTCATCAGAATTAGATGAAAACATGGTCTGCTAATTGAAATTGATTCAGTGGATATATTTCAACTCAATAAGAACATTTGGGGCATTGAATACTGTACCTCTGTACGGCACTGTATATTGAAATGTTGGCAACTGTAAAAACAACATTCAAGGCAGAAAGAGAGAAGGAAGGCTTTCTATACGGGTTGTATTTTTTTTTAATTAGCTGAATGGATGGGAAAATGATGGGAAACTATCAAAAAATTTTCTTGCATAGATCTTATAGGGCTGGAAATATTAGCTTCTTACAATTCAGCCTGATGAAATTAATTTTTCCTGAAACTTATTGGTGATTTTATCAATCAATCTCCGCATGTTGAGTCAGTGTCCTCATGTTGGGCGTTTTTTTATTGGAAAATAACTATCCCTATGTTAAATCACCCGCATTTCTCACTATATACCAACACGCAAATAAAATTTTCGGACACACTTGCACTTATAATTTCTATGCTTTCGTTTCTCCAAAATAAAGTCGAATGCATATAAGACACTGATATGAATACAGTATTTTTAGCGTGAACTTAATCACAAAACATGATAGAATATACGCATAAAAAATAATATCCAAAATTCCCTGACCCCTTGATCAACGTCGAGAACTTTGGCGAAGATTTCATAAGGAATAGAGAACTGAGCAAATTCAAAAAATGATTCACCTTGATTTTTTTTCTAAAGAAGCGCTATTTATATTTTTTGCGAAGGAATGCTGTTGTTTTATTTATTTACCCTCTGTTTCTTGGGTCAGCTTCTGGATGATCAGCACAGTCAGCACTCCAAGCAGGAAGAATAACACGTAAGGCAAATATTCCATGCCAACGAAACGTCGTTTCTTCATCAAAAATCGCGCTGCGTCCAATTTTTTCTCCGAGAATGGCGGATAACGAACGCTGCAAAAATGCACAAAATAATTATTGAAAAACACAATAACAAAATGAGACGCTTATAAAACACCATAGCTTCATAAAACATTTTCTTCAATAACTATATTGTAACATTCCTGAACAAAAATTATACCTTCCTATGCGTTCCTCCAAGCGATTGTAATCCTTGTTCAGAATGGATTTTGTGTGCGAAAACGTGTCGAAACTGGCTTTTCCGTGATATTGTCCCATGCCACTTTCTCCAACCCCTCCGAAAGGAAGATTGCTAACTGTAAAAAGCAGCAAAAAAGAACAGAAATAAATCGTCAGCCCTTCAAACCTTGAATCCAGACAACGTTATGTCATGCTACGGATATATCTGTAGTCGATAATGCTTCATTGCATAATGATTTCACTGTCATTTTTTGAAAATTTTTATTTTTCTACTGTACAGCAATATACTGTATGCATATTGCGAAGCTATTTAGAATGACATATTTTTCCTTGTTTTCCAATTTTTGTCGTACACGTTAAATCGGCGCAAGAGCATTAATGTGCTGACTGCTGATTGCAAAAATTATCCACGAAAACAATCGTACAGCATCAGGAAATAAAAATCATAAAGAGTATCAAAAAGTTCGTTATTTCGAAATGGCACCAGTTTGAAAAATTAATAAAAACTTTCATTATTTTCCTCACAAATGAGAACCTATACATACCTATACTGAAATACAGTATATAATTAGGCGACGTGATATAAATACTGTACCTTGTTAAAGTGTAAAACAAGAAATTCAATAGCAAGATTGTAATTATTTTGAAATAAATGCCTACCACTTTAGTGAACATCAAATTACTTTAGTTTGAAAAGCCCGTTATCTATTTTATGGAGTGAAAAAAATGCTTTAGAACAGGACTTGAGCCGTGAAACATGAATTAAAACACAGTAAATGCTGCTGATGAAGACTTGAATCATGGCATTCAAGGCAACAAATATTGCAAAATACATTGAGATTTTCAAAGCGTTCAGCAAAACTATTCATAAATATTGTACAGTATTGATGATTTTTCGACCAAATTTCCTGGAACATGTCAGTGCACGCGGGAAAAAACCCAATACAGTAATATGAAAATCGGATGCCCGTATATGGAAATGATTCCTCATTCACGAAATTCTTCACATCCTCAGCATTTCGTCTATACCAAGGAAATTCTGAATGCTTTATAATGAAAACCTCATTCTCTTTTTTTCTCTCATCACGTGTCGACATTGTCGGTATTGTTTCCAGCTGATACTTTCTGAAATTTGATATTGTTTTGAATCTAATCTTGGGATCAACCATTATTTTGGTTCTGCGTATTTTCTAGAAATCCCGCCTTCGGGTTCGTTATAAAGTACAATGGAATTTAAAGTCTGCATCAAAATCACTGATTATCGAGATCCTAAAGCTCATTGAAAATCAGTTTTTCGAACTAAACCAAACAATGAACAAGCCTCCACTTATTCCTGGTCAGTTTCCCCCAAAATCGGAAATGTGTGACGGATAAAAAACGGAACGATATCGGGAGCAATGAACAGAAAAAAATCGAAGTTCCATTCAGAAGAGTTAACGGACCGGATTCTTTCGCATTACCGAATAAACAACGTGGAACAAGACGAAAAGAGAAATCCAATTCTATTCAATTCTTGCATTGTAGTAAAATAAATTCCGGCGAATAAGTACTGTATTATATGTAGTGTAGTCAACATGCTCAAAACTGGCGGCGCGGAATAAGCGTGACTGTGACCAGAAAAAATCCAGTCTGTCGCTTCTAAAAATGTGTCAAAAGTCACTGGGAACAAACTTTTACTACACATCGTGCACCAATTCTTGTCGAAAGTACGCCGAAGATAATTATACTTTCTTGGTGCTTCCGCGAAAGCAAAAAAAGTTAAGACCATAATTTTAACAACCGTGGAAAATGATATTCTCTGCGTTGCCAATTTAAATTTGAAGTGTTTATATTCAAATAAAGATGAACCCTTACGATTCCGATCATTTAAAATGATCAGAGCGTCGAAAACCTCAGGATTGTACATTATTCTAGTACTGTATCTTAAATGAAAATTGCGCAGAAAACGGACCACACAAGTAGCTTTTCTCATATTGTAGTACTGTAGCTATCATTCTGCAAATGCTTGAAGCTTCCCNATCACGAAAATGATGTACGCCTCAGGTAATCCCGAGACTAGCGACGAGTTTTCACTCGTTAGATAAAACCGGTGCCTTCTCCTTCAAATTAGGCATCGAGACCGTAACGTAAAATGCTGGACCTCATAACGGACTACTTTCTATCTCCCATCAAAACTGAAACTAAGTGCGTTTCTTACTCCCCAAGAATGTCGATTGATTGAAAAAAAAATGCAGTCTGGACTGCGATGTAAGCGGAAGTAGACAGCTTCCGACCGTATACAACTTTTTCTAACAACATCCGAAAGACGTCGAATTTTTCACTACACTATATTCTTATAGTTTGAGTTTAACTTGACTTGATTCACGCTTCCATCTCTTCGTTGGCTAAATATTTTACAAAAAATGTGTCAGGCACTTCATTTGTCTCACCAAAATGTTTTACGACTTAATTATTCAACAGTACATTTGAAGAGGAGTCAGAGGCTCATTAGGTTTAAAATTGATGAAAACTTTTACTTCTGAAAAGCTGAATACCGTCTTTAACTTTGAATTCTCAGGACTCTCTTAATTCCTTCAAATTGATAGCGCAGATTTTGCGTAGTATGGTAAATAGTAAATTTTATTAAAGTGACCAGAAACTCCCGAATTGTATTTACTTACTACAACAGCGATATTTTGCATTTCTGTGTGAAAATTTTATCGAAACAATCATGCGTATGTGTGCTTATCGTATAAATAAGTCGTTCACTGATTTTTGAGCTTTTCGCCCGTGCGTTTTCCTTTTTGTTTCAGTCTTGAAAAATATTTTCACGTATTTTATGGAATAAAATCTGATCATATCCGGAGCATCGCTCTTATATGAGTGATCATGCAGATAAAAAATATAAAAATAATGAAGCAGAGAAATTAAGGTGGAATTTTTCATTGCAAGGAAATCTAATTCCCTTCCTTGTACATGAAGTTAGATGGTCTAAACATTATCAAATGAATAAAATAATCGAAAAAAAAATACTTCGTGGTGATTTTTCCGAGACAACTAAGTTGCAGTGAGAAAAAACTTCCGATACTTGAAGCATATCGTTCAGACTATTTAATGTAAATAACGGTTGGCCTCAAATGCCAAAATAGGTGAGCAGGAAATCGAGTAAGTCCGAGTGCAAATCCGGAAAACCCTGTCTTGCCATTATTCCAATTTTCATTTCATGTCTGGGATTTCTCATTCGAAAATTTTGGTGCTCAAAAAATTTAATTCCTGGGTGTTGAGAAAAATTTATGAACCACAATTAGAATGCAGGTTAGGAACCATATATTTTAATTTTAATGAGATGCGAGAAAATGAACGCCCTTTTTCGTTTCAGATCCATCATTCTCACCTGGCATTTATGAAGTCCATGGCTTCTTTAGCAGAGTCCACATTGATGATGGGCAGAATCGGACCGAATATTTCTTCTTGCATAACAGGATCATCCGGTTTGACGT